TTCAGAAATGTCCTGTATAACAGGTGGGTTAGATAGTAGGCATGAGTTCAGTTAGCTATGACCATCACGAATGCCAGCATCTGCTATCACCTGCATGTCCCCCAAAAATACTTGGCATGGCTGTCAAGGAAGATGGGGAAGTTGTAGGTCCATCTGCTCCGTGATCATTTGATGGGTGACTTCTGTCTTGAAATGTGAGAAACACCAGTTTAAACAATACCCATATAAAACTCTGTTTCAAGTTGGTGCGGCAGCTATTAGTTCTGATTTTCTTCGAATAACTTGGCGACAGTCCTACGAATAGGAAAACAGGAAATGTCAACATGTTTTAAATAATACAAACGGTGTAGCGCTTGTCTAATTCCAGTATAGCCACTTCAAATTCCCAAACCAGAGTCTTTTCTTTCTGGCTATGAGTAGTGCCCACTTTGAAAAAGCCAAGATTCTGGTGAAATGCGTTAGTGTTCTATCAGTATTTTATGCTATATATCAGTATTATTATTTGATTTTTATTCGATTTGGACCTTCCTGTTTTTATCCCTGAAGAATTTATCCAGAGGATTTGCAATTTTACTTCCTTGGTGAAGAATAAACCACCTACGCTTTTTTTCTCTCCTCTTATAATTGCTACTGCTACAATATTGCCCACTAAAGGAGTACACTCCCAATGCTTACCATCCAGCCCTGTCTGTATAACTTTGACAGTAGCAACCTGTAAAGCACTTTAATAATAAATTCCTGGTTTTAATCAGGCAATTGTTTTCACTGTATGTGTCCTTATTGAGGACAATCCGCTGATGTCCCCAGAGGTGGGACACCAGAGAAGAAAACGACGATGGCGGGACAGATGTCCCAAATCAGTACTGAACCCACTAAATTCAGGACTATTGAGAAATAAGTTCTTGTGGTCTGTGGCTGCCTCTCACGGCTTCCGCAATTTCTCCTCAAATCAAAACAGATTGAGAGGTAAAATAAATGTTATGCCTGAAAAAGGGAATACTGTACATAACAACAATCAAACTCAAATAAATGTATTCTTTAAACTGTATGTTGTGAAGAATTGACACGGGAACTAAGTTTATCTCATGCCACAGAATCCAGCTCTAGATGGGGAAATAAAGAGGCAATTTTTGGTGCAGTCCCATTCGTGACACCAACAAGTGGTTTCATGTAAATAACTGTAATCATGTAGAACAGGCTTCCACAAACTCCGGCCCCCCAGATGTTGCTGAACTACAACTCCCATGATTCTCAGCCTACCTATCTCATTCATAGAATCATGGGAGTTGTAGTTCAGCAGCATCTGGGGGGCCAGAGTTTGGGGAAGCCTGATGTAGAATAACACTATCTTTTCATTAATGAACAAGTCTAAAATGATAAACCCTTCCATGTAGATTTTAACGTGTACAAACCTGTCACACCAGGTTTTTATGAAATTTTTAAACATATGTCCCGAAACACTGTTTATCTGATCTTTTCATATTATTTAACAAAGAATAAAATTACTTACTGATACAGAGATCCAGAAAGTTCATCTATGTAACTCCCTGTAAAAAAACAAACACAATCAGACATTTAAATAGTATATAAAAATGTCAGGAATCATTGCTGAACAAGAGGCAACTGTCCCCCCATATCCTAACGTGAAATCAGACCACCTTCTCTAAAGGTTTTACTTTCACTTAACTGGTAGATTTGGAGGATTAGCAAGACAATTTAAGGTCAAAATAGCCAAAGTATTGAATAGGAAATTCTCTCTCTCTCTATATATATATTATTTTTTTTTTTACCATTTCTGCTATTTGACGCCTTTTCTTACCATTTCCCAGATTAATCAATAAACTTGTATCTTAGCTATACTATACCATAACTACTTTTACTGTATGTTTCCAAGTACTATTTTCCACCTATCACTGTTTAGCAAATAAACACACATTGTGTGTGACAGGGCTGTATCTGGAGCACTGTCAAACTATACATTGCTTCTTATTGGTACAGCCAGAAATACAGGTTTTTATAAGGTTTGCCAGCTTAGACCACAATTTAATATTTTTGAATAAACTTTTCAATTGATTTCATATTTCTGGATAAACTTTTAGATTCATATTTTGCTATTTTTTGATGCATTGAGCGCTGCCGCCAGACTGGTTTTCCTCTCTAGTCGGTTCTCTCACACCTCACCCCTCTGTCAGTCCTTACATTGGCTTCCTGTATCCTTTAGGAGTCAATTCAAAGTTCTAACCCATACCTATAAAGCACTGAACAATTCTAGCCCCTCCATGGGTATGTGCCTTCTCGCTCTCCCGTGACCACCTTCTGTCCATTGTTCGCACCCGTAAGACCAACTCACGCTTGCAGGACTTCTCACGGGCGGCTCTCTTCCTATGGAATGGCCTGCCTACCACCATCAGACTCTCCGCTGGTCTTGCATCTTTTAGGAAGTGCCTTGAGACCCATCTCTTTAGGAAAGGCGTCCCAGAGTAACCTCTACCCAGGGCCGGACTGGCCCACCGGGATACCGGGAAATTTCCCGGTGGGCCGCGGCACCTGGGGGCCGGCCGCGTTCCTGGGCCGGCCCTTTAAATACTGCAGCCGCCCGAGCGCTCTGTTAAGAGACTCAGGCGGCTGCAGCTTCTCCCCTCCCCACCCTGTAGCGTGGCCGAGCTGCACTCCGGTCCGCGGTGGCCGGCCGGCCGGACTGATAGGAAGATGCACACTGAGTGTGCACCTTCCTGTCAGTCCGACCGGGTACAGGAAACAGAAACTCCTGTTCCGCGCGGAGTTTCTGTTTCCTGTAACCGGCCGGACTGACAGGAAGTGCACACTCAGTGTGCAGCTTCCTATCACTCCGGCCGGCAGGCCACCGCGGACCGGAGTGCAGCTCGGCCACGCTACAGGGGAGGGGGTAAGAAGAGAGGGAGGAGGGGGGTAAGAAGAGGGGAGGGGG